TGCAGTTCTATTTTCCTCCACTTTGCTGCCCCTCCATATCTCACCCCGTCCAACTCCCCATCCAAGCATCTGCCTCACTCTGCCTAATGGTGGGGCCAGTCCAGGGAAGAAGAACTCAAAAATTGCACAGCAATTATACTAATCCCTTCTGTCTCTAAATGTGATCCCTATTTAATATTTATATAGCACTTTCCCCAATGTCAACCTTCATTAGAGCAAAGATAATTACTTTTGACAAAACAAGTATGCAAGAGTACAGTCTACTACACCTGAGTGGTCCTTGTGTAGAACTGGCACTTTTTAAAAATAGTTCCTGTGAACCAGTGGTATTAGTATCTAAAAGGATAAAGCTGCACTCCAATTTCAGCTCCTTAGTTCATGTATGCTGCTAACTGTTTCTCCTAGAATGTCCTAAATCTATTCTTTGACTTCCTGTGTGTCAAAAAGAGTGGTTACAAGGCAGTATAGTCTAGATATGGTGTCGCCTGGGGATGAATGTTTAGTTGATTAGTCATTTATATTTTAACTGATTAAGCAATCAATGGATTAACTGTAAATCAATTTGTATATTACTGTAAATTCAGTATGTGTCTTTTTAAGCATGGAGGGCAAGGACATATGCAGGGCACAAAAGCCCTGCACACTTTCCCCTCTCCCTCAATCACTGGAGATGTTATTTAGCATTTCAATGGACTTCTGACATCTGACCAAGCAGGTGCACTTTCAAGCATATCACCATCAAGGTAAGGGCAAGAAACATGCTTTATTTCAAATGAAAGCTGAGATTCTCAGGAAGCTGAATTCTGCAGAATCGTGGTGAAATTAAATCAGACAGTACAAGATACAGACTTTTTGCAACATCAGATTGTCTCTGCACCGGAAAAAGTAACATGAGAAGTAAACTTGAAAGATAAGACTGATTATGTATGATAAGATAAAAGTTGAGGTGAAAGCCCTTGAATGTTCTCTCTTGGGAAATAACTGAGTAGGAACTATTGCTTGCCAGATCAAGCCTCACCTTATTGTATTCAGTAAGCAAATCACTGCAAATTTCACCATCACTCTGTTGCTTATGGACTTAAAAAAAAGGAAGGGGTATTTTTCCTTTGATTTGATGGTGTTTACATTGTATAGCTTGTAATATTGATCCTTGCAGTGTGGTGCTATTATTTGCTGAAATGGGATGAGAAGCACTAGTGTGTGATGCGGCAGCTAATTTTTATTTCCTGATGTGCCCAAGTAATTATTTATCCCTCACATTTGTATCATGTCCTTCTATTACCTTGGAAATGGCAGTCTCTTTTCTCATATAATGCACAGATACAAATATTTTAAGGGGAGTATTTTCATTTGTTAAAAGGAAATAATCATGCTTCAGAGTAGGAGGGTCCCTCTTTTTAAAGTATAAAAAAGAATTACACAGTCTTCATCATAACTAGATACATGCTTGTTTATCTGTCTAAACCAGAGGTTTTCAACCTGTGTGCCTCGGCACCCTTGGGTGATTTAACAATTGGTCAGGGGTGCCCTTCTTCTCTCTCTCTTTCTCTCCCTCTTCATGTCACCCATGCTTTCTGCATATCTGCAAATCCTCTTTTTTCTGCACCAAATCTCTCCATTTTTTTCTGCACCAAAAAAGGTGGAATGGGGTGTGGTGGTCGGTAGAATGGGGGAATCCCCACTTACACATGTCCTGTAATGGAACCTCAGTGAAAGTGGCTCCCAATTCTAGGGGCGGGGGGGGGGGAGGGGGAACCGTTTGACAACAGTGGGACTGATCTCTATGTAAACATGTTTTAAAATGCCTTTTATATCTAAAAGGCAAACTTGGGTACATTTATATATGCTTGCAGAATGCAACATTTTTTTTTAGAATGCATGTTTCATTTTCTATCTGTATATAAAACAGCATCAGCATTAGACACAGCAACTAGCAGTCTTGCATGTGCAAGCAAAACTGACCACTTGCTGGAACAGGCCAGGGTCCAAATGCTGTAATGAGTTCAGGAAAAATAACTGTTTGCTATAGTAGCTGCTTGCTCCCTAGTGATTACTTTCACATATATATGTGCATATAGCTAAGAATTATACAACAGAATTTGAAGCAATGGGAATTAGACCTGTTTCAGGTCTGCCCTACAGCTTTCTCTTTATCCCAGATCCCTGCAGGCTGCTTGTTGCTTACTCAGTTCTAAAGCAAAGTTCTTATGTGCATATGCAAGGCCTTCTCAATTATTCCCCTGCGTGGCAGGTGGAGCCTAGCATTCCTCAACACCAGATTCTTGAGACCTACTTGAATTCTTGCCTTCATGTCCTGCTTGTGGGCTTCCCAAAGGCATCTGGAAGGCCACAGCTTGAAACAGATGCTGGACTTGGTGGTCCTTAGATCTGATTCAGCAGAGCTACTCATCTTCTTATTCTGAAGTGGTTCTAGGGTTATGTTCTATTATGAGTCACTCATGGTTACAACTTGTGGGAGAGATATTTAGAAATGAAAAGATACAAAAACCTGCAAAACCTGTTTAGAGAAGGTGGGATGACTATATTCACCATAAGATGTGATCACTCTTTCAAACTGCCCCCAGGACTCTCAAAACCTAGTCTTTCTCCAGCTGAAGCTGAGAACACATGTTACAATACCCACAACTGCAAACAAACAAATTTGCCTTATTTACCCATGTCAAAATAAGATCTTACTGGATTCCAATGGATTCCCCCACCCCCAGTATCTCTTTTTTATTGTGGTACGTTTGCCTTGCTTTCTGATCTTTTAAAGCTTCTGGGTTTTGTAGCGTTCCAAATTTCATAGTACATAACTGAGAAAATTATAGTCCTAGCTTTCAATGACTTCCCCCAATAAATGCTTATAAGAAAAGATTAATTTCTTCTTGACTACACAACATAATTTGGCTTACAAAGCTATTTATTTAGCCTGACAGCCACCACAACCAGATTCAGCCTGGGACATGTTCATATTAGCACAACGTGAAGCCAAGGCTGCTGAAAGGCCAGACAGGACAGAAATATGGAAGGGAATGGTTATGTAATGTCTCAGCCAAAAGGATTAACATGACTGAAGGACACAGAGCTTGATTCAGCAATACTGCCTGCCCCAGGCATGTTCCTGTGACGTTGGGTTGTAAGAAAGCTTAGGCATTCTCTTCACTTTTTGCTTCCTTTTGTTCCCCTCAGAAATTATTATTTTCTCAGCAACCCAAAAAGCCTACACCATTCAATTTTAACCTAAATCGGTGATGGACGCTTACAAGACCACAATCTGAGTCCTTTCTTTGACAAGACTCTTGAGTACTTCGTTGGCACATATATTCTGCAGCAACACAAATCTGGAACAGCCATAGAAATTGAGAGTGAGAGTGTTTGCCTGGATTCTGCTGATGCCACCTCACAGAGTAAGCCTTCCACCAGGGAAAGCTAATCAAATATTACAGTCATCTTGTAAGAAAGACAACCATGTGTTTCAAACTTTAGGAAGAAACTGTGATAAAAGCCCATGCATAACCCTCTGTTTTCTCCCCAAATGGGATTTAATTGACTTTGATTGGTCTATAAATGTTATACGCAATGGCATGAATCATAGAATCAAAGAGTTGATGGTTATGTCACACTTCAACTTGCTATACAAGGCACCAGAAAACCTCTTAAATCTTCTTCCCTGTGTGCATTAATGTTTTACTTTACAGAAGCATGACCAATCTGGGTCCACTTTGCAATGCACTGTTATCATATGTTTGTTGCCCATGCACTCTCTCTGTCACACAGGTGACATTGCAGTCCAGGTATGTTTGGGAATAGAGCCTGGAACAGCTAGAAGCAAAAATCTGTAATAGAGACCTTTGTACACTATACAGTATACTGAAGACAAAGGATCTGGATCACTTAAGAAAACAATACTGTAACATTTTCCCCACACCCTAAAGGGATTTAGTAATCTCTTTAAACCACCTGCATCATGTTCCTCCCTCATCCACTGTCATCTGGCAGCAGTCATTTCATCCCATCAAGCTGCAGCAGAGAGAAAGCAAGTGTTGCTACACCCTCAGTGGGAGATGAGCAACTTTTGGCTCCTCCTTTTCTTGAACTGCTCTTTTCCAGCTGGTCATTATAAGAACTTTGTTCACTGAGGTCTAGTGGCTGAGTGTTTCTTTCTCCCTCCCTCTCAATGCCTTCTTTTGCGTTGTATCTTAGATTATCAGCACAATGTCAGATATGTTCTTGCATTTTATCTTTGTAAGCTGCTCTGGAACCCTTTTTGAGGTGAGGTGGGGTAAAGATATTTTAAATAAATCACAATAAATATAACACTACATGCATGTGATAGGTCTGTCCTTGAGAGTACAGTTCTTCCAATAAAAGACCAAAGGAAACATTGCTCACAGGGAGAGCAGTGAAAAAATCTGGAATCCAAATGAACATATTTGGGAAGAGGGAAGCTAACCACATCTTGGGATGGTCACATGACTATCATTCTCCATGTCCCTCCCAGGGTAAGAGCTTTTTGTTGAAAGAAACAATTTATAACAATCCATGGGGACATATAACAAGTTGTCGTGTCTACTGTTAAACAATTAAGTCCAGTATTCCTGCTTTCTAGACTTCTGTCAGGCACTAAAGTTGAATAAGGTTTCATCTTAATATAAAGCAATGTATACTTTCACTCTCAAGTAGTAGTCAACTCACTATTATAATTTCTTTGCAATTTCAGTTGCACATAGAAGTTTCTAGGCAACCACAAGAATAATAAACATGAGTGGGTGGAGAAATGTTCATAATGGGGGGAAGCTCCATTTTTACATGGTTTTATAAAAGTATAAAAATTTTATACAGTAAAATATAAAAAAGATATGTGCAGTTTTAAAAAATATTTTGCCAGTCACTTTTGAACAAATTCATATTTCAGTGAGTATTATTTTAGCTAATGGCCCATATTTTCACCACCATTAAAAACCATTAATGTATATATAAGACAAAATGTAACTTACAAGAAATAAGAGAGGAGCGAAGCAGAGAATTCAAATGTGTCGACAACAGCGGACGGTAGTTTTCACTTCAATTTGTTCAGTCTCCTTGAACCTAAAATTGAAATATTAATTTAAAAATAAGCATATATATTGAGGGTATTGGATGTCCTGGAGGCTTTTTCAAAAAGGCATGATGCAGTCTGCTAGATGCTAGGACTGTAATGCAGAATTTGCATCAATAGTTCATATGATATAGTGATACAGGGTAGTGGCCCTGTTGTGTGGAAAAATCTTTCTTTGGTTTTGGGAACATATTTGTTTGTGGATGTTAATCTGTGATCCTGGAGTGAATGGGTCACTCCTCAGTGGGATACAGACGTGGCAGAGGATGTGGAGAACTGAGAAGCAATTGTGGTGTGATGAGCATGGCAGGATATGTTGGAGTAAGCATGGTGGGGATAGGTGTGAGGGGAGTATGAATATCCTGCTGTTATTTTTGGGAGGAGAAGGTATGGCATAGTTAGTGGCAGTGATCAGAAAAATAGAACAGGACACCAGCTTCATGCCATCTCCTCTACTGACCCAAACTTGCAGGGAACTGGTGACTTGGCTACTGGGACTCCCAGGCCTCAAATATACAAACCAGGTCAGACTTTCTTTACTTTAAGAAATTCTATCTCAGTCCAGAAACTTTCTACTCCGTTATAATGAACAAGACACATCTTGAGCATCCCCCCACCCCACCCAATAAACACAAGGTCGTGTTTATTCTTAGTTAATCTCATTGGACAGGGACCAAGAGGAGACTGTTACCATTCATTCCTACCGGTACTCTATCAGCTTACTTGGTTGTTGGCAAGTGTTAATGGTCAATTCCTCTCTGTGTACATGATGAACCTCAGGTGTCCCAAGAAGAATTGGCTTTCCCCTGATTCATCAATTCATTTCTTCCTGGCCAGCCCTTTTCTTGAATCTCCAGAGAGAAAAAGAATGGGCAGGATTCATTTATGCTGATGTGTACACAGAATGAGGTCCACTTGTGCAATGGGACTCCACCCTTGCATCCCCTAAATCTGTCTGTAGGGTTTTGGGGAACCCCCAGCACAGGTTAAGGGGGTGCACGCAGAGAGAAGAAAGGGTGGCAACCTTGTTTTAGGCATGCATGCATACCCACTTTGGGCTACATTGATCTCCCCTGGTGCTTTTGTCACCCCTTTGAATGCCTTCTAGGGTACCCTGCAATGACTTGTTTGCATGGCGCCTGAAGGGACTCTACTTTCAACTTATCAAACCTAGCTTAGAATCTATATCAGGGTGAGGTTAGCTAGAAAACACTTGTTTATTTTTAAATTTCATGCTGCTTCTTGTTCTTCTACTTGCTTATTTTGAAGCCTTTAATAAAAAGTTTAATGATAAACCTGGAGCTGACTGAATAAGGTTTTGTTTGCCCACAGTCTCCCTCACCCACAGTTGGCTACTTGTGCCTAAAGCTACCTGGTTAACAGAAGGAAACTGGCCCAGGTCTGCTGTTCTCCACAGAAGAGGTCTTACACATTCTTACACATTCAGACTAGGGTTATATAATGTGGGTGGTGGCTGCCTCTCGCTCTCAGCTTCACCTACCTCACAAGGAATATGTGTACCTTTGTCACACATGGTTGTCCAGCTAAATACATTTTAATGCAACAAGTACTGAGGCTAATGGATTTTGGAACTGTACAATCATTTCCCCTAAGCTAGTAAACAGCTGCTCATACCGTTTAAACGGAGGCACCACTGATTGTTTGACTCAACCACAAAATGTTCAATGTTAATCTCACATCAAGAAGTAGGCAGGAATAAAGTTAAATAGATGGCAAGAAGCTGATAGTTACCCATATTTATACAAATTAATGATGGGTACTCCCCCTCCCCCCGTCCTCCAAGATATTTCCCCTTTACCCTGCACTCACAAAGCAGCTGGCAGCTGTAATTTGTGTGCAGGTATTTCTGGAATAAGTCATTTCAGAATGGAAAACTTAATATCCCGTTATCAAATGTTCATAAATGTCACCAATATCAGAAAGTATAGATGTTTCAGGCTGTAGAAGTAGAGTCTCTAATTGAAATCATTGGAACAACTGTGAATTATGAAAACTGGTAAAATTTTGTGATGAAATAAATGTCATTCTAACAAATGGGCGGAAAAAGGGAGGCAGTTTTCACTGATTCTCCTCTCTGCTTGCAGCTCCCCTTACTGAGCACATTTTCAGGGGCTGTAGGGACAAGGAAACTGTGTATGTTGCCTCACTCCTTCTCACCAGCAGAAGCATCCTGTGAATGGAACTCCACTCACAAGATGCTTCCAATGGTAGAAAGATACAATTCAAGATTAGCAAAGTCTGATGTAGATCCCTTTTTACAAAAGTAAGTCCCCCTTTTCCTAAGATGGTCATAATGAAAGAACTATCTGTAATAGCATTAAGGAGTGTCTGAGGAAGCCACAAGGCCCTGGTTAAAAATATCATTTAATCCAGAAACACTGAGGGGTGGTTAGTATCTGAAACAATTTATTGTAGTCAGAAGATCTTGAAAAGAAGAATCATGTGCTGGATTCTCATTTGTATTTCACTCACCTTCAATCAGATATAGGGGAGAAACACAAATTTTCCATCCAGCTGACACAAAAATTTCAGACATTTCCCTCCCCCTCCCCCAATGAAGCACATCTGCCAAATTTCAGATAAATGGTCAAAGGGCTCTTCATTTAATGAGTCCATTAAGAAAGGCATTGACTAATTCCTCTTTGACATAATATCAAAAAACCAAGACGAAACAAAACACCCTGGTGCAATTTCAAGAACAGAAAGATGAACAGACCTGAGTGCCAAGGTAAAGAGTATTCCTCCCAGGTGCCCTCCAGCTGGAGGGTGCGTAGGAGGGGTGCAGCAGCTTGGGTGCCCTGCAGGCCCAGTGTTGCCCGGGGTGATCAGCCCCTCCCGCACCCCCTAACTACACCACTGGTGTATGGAAGTCCTGGGTTGCCAAGACGACAAGACCTCCCCCCTCAGTCTCACTGATGTCCAAAGGAAAGCAGAGCAATACATTTGGCACCAGTTGGGTTGCAAGAGTTACTGGAACAAGGCATACAAGGCACCATCCAGGCAGCTTAGGGACTCCACTCTAGATATGATTTACTCCTTAGTCTTCTCCCAAAGATATCTGACAAGGCAGTGGAGATTAAGGATCAGAGTTTTCCTTCATTTAGATGGGGTACCTTCCCTGGCTGATGAGCCCCATCTGCCCCTCATTTCCCTCTACACCACATGCAGAAACTGCCTTCTTTGGTCTTTAGACCCACTTTTGGTCTCATCTACTCAATCTGCCGGAGCCTGTCTTTGTATGCAGAGAAAGTCCCTAATTCATTGAGGGTTTAAGACCCATCGGCTACCCTCACCTAGTTTAGCTGGCCGGTTCCTGGGGTGTGGTTGCTGTTGCATGCTGACAGCTTCTAGGAACCACAGACGGGAGCTGAGTACAGGTTGGGGACTAAAGGTGGACAAACTACTGCAGAAGGAGCAGGACATGTCTCCCACCAGAGGTTCTACCCCTTCCCTACCACCCCATACACCTCTGCAGACCTATGGTCTGTATTTAAAATGCTAAACAGGTACCCCCAAACAAAATAAGAACAAATATAAGATCAAAATTCCTGTTTTCCAGAAATTGGTCAATTGCCAGCCCTGGCCAGGGGTTGCACTTCTCCTGAAGAAACAGGACCGCAGTTTGGGAGTGCTTTTAGATCCAGTATTGTCACTAGAGGCCCAGGTAGTCTTAGTGGCTAGAAGTGCCTTTTAGAAGTTGTGACTGGTGTAACCATTACAGCCATTCCTGGACAGGGAAACCTTGGCCACAGTAGTTCATGCCCTGGTGTCTTCAAGACTCCGTTAGTGCAATGTTCTATTTTTGGAACCTTCTTAAAACATTTTTGTTCAGACAAGCCTATCCAGACATGTAGAAATAATGTGTTTTATCTCTTTTTAGCTACTGTTGATTTTAATAATGTTTTTAAATACCTGTTTTTAACTGTTGTCACTGATAATTTTAATGCTTTATTTAACATTTTCATAAACCACTTAGTTTTTTGTTACAATCAAGTGGTATATAAATTAGTTTTTAAAATTGACTCTAATAATAAAAATGTTAAATGCAAATGGAATGCAACAAGGAATGCTTTTGTTTTACACATACAATCAAGGATCCGTTGTCACTCTCTAAGTGCACAAATCATGGCACTTTATTATTATTATTACTACACATCCCTTTTTTAGTTTCCAATGATCAGATTCTTTTGCTAGAGTGTGCTCTCACTGTTCTCTCTCTGTGAACCTTGTGTGCCCCACTGTCACACATCATATAATCTGGCCCTGGCTAAGGAAACTGAAATGAAGAAGAAAAAGAAGAGATAGGAGGCACCAAATGAACCCTTACTCATTCCTGAGTAGTTTCTGTTTTCATAAGCAGAGAAGTGTGGTGTTCACCTCAAGATAACAGCCACAAAGGACCCCATATATCCTGAAAGGATCCCCCTAATTTGAAGTAAGTAGGGTCTTTTTGGCTGAGGGCTTGTGTCTCGTAAACCTGTTAAAGCTATTAACTGGCTCCCCAGTGGTAGTACTGTGCTTACCCATCTCTCTTTCACAGGTAAGGAAATAAAACAGAAAGAAGTTAAGTGAATTCCCCAAGGCTATACAGAGAAGTGACTGGTGGATGGGGAATTTGAACACATTCATTTTAAAGCTACAATCCTGTCATGCTATCTCTCCAGGCAATGAGTGTCTCACTCTGGGGAGAAAAACATTACGCAGAAGTCATGGAAACTTGTCAAGCGAGGTTCAGCAGTTGCTCTCTGGCTACACCTTGGAACATGGATCATCATCTTGAAGCCAGAGAAGCTGAATTCAGAAGGGAAGAACAGAGAATGTCTGGCCTATGTCTTATCTTTTGTGAGATACCCTTCTAAGTTCCCTTTCAAAGTCAAGAGTGAAATCCAGTTCATATGTAAAAATATTGAGATAGGCAAACCATTATTGCCATATTTTACCGAGGCATAAGACGCCCCCATGTATAATT